ATGGGCACCTAATATGTGTGTTAGAAAAGTATACTTTTCTTTAACACTGACTGCATCAAAATCACTTGAACTTGTACAAATGACTTCTGGGCTCCATTCCAAGTAACCTCATTGGTATCAGAACTTGATACAGGAAACACATCTGGGTTTCTAGATTAGTGTGGAGCAGACGGTATGTACCTCTTCATTATTACAACAAAATAGATAATTTAAAAACTGCTTAATTGAAAGTGAATAATTATCATTGCTAACTTTCGTAAGTACTTCACCTTTTAAAATGTTACAATTCTTAATCAAGTTAACCTGAACAAACTTCCATGTTCCCTGTAACATTATTCACATTAGACAGGATATTAAACAACCTAAACCAGACACAGAAAGACAAGCATGACTTACATGTGAAATCTTAAAAAAAGCTGAACTACTAGCAACAGTTTAGAATGGTGGTTGCCAATAATTACTTATTGCACATGAGAATGGATATGTTGACCAAAAAGCATAAACTTTCAGCTATACCATGAGTACATTCTAGAGAGCCAACGCACACCATGTAGTGTTTCAGACAATAATGTTGCCTGTATTTTTTACTTCTTCAAATTGTTCTAAGATCACAGATCACAAGTGTCTTCTTCCCCTCTACTATGCACATGCATGAGTGTGCAACACACATGTGGTAACTAATTATAGTAATGATGTATTAATTCAATTGTGATAATCATTATTATATATGTATATGTCATCACATGTACAGCTTGAATATGTAATTTTTGTTAGTTATACCAGGATTTGAAGATTTGACTTTTAGAATATGGGTGTTTAGCATTCAAAATACTACACTGTTGTGAAACAGCCTTCTAGAAACTTTTTATCTTCCCAAACTAGAACTATATACCTGTTAGTCAACAATTCTTCCCTTTCCTTCCCAAAATTTTCAGTAACTACCATTCTGTTTGTCTATGAATTCTACTATTTTTGTTAGATACCTTATGTAAGTTGAGTTGTATATACATACAGTATTTGTTTGTGTCTATGTATGACTGGCTTATTTGACTTGGTATAATGTTTTCACAGTCTGTGTATTGTAACAGGACAGAAATTTCTTCTTTTTAAAAGGCAAATAGTATTTTACTTACTGTATTGGCGTACTACATTGCATTGTTCCATTCATCTACTGATGAACGTTTTGGTTACTTTGCCTTTTGCTGCTGTGAATAGTGGGACTGAACACAGACGGGTATGAATTTATCTCTCTCCGCAAAACTTTATTATTATTATTATTATTATTATTATTATTATTATTATTATTTGCTATCTATCTGTGGTAGAATTGCTGTCTATCCTCCAGATACTTTAAAGTGGATGACTTACTGCTATGGCAAAGTATTATGGCACTTTTGAGAAGGGAGAGGGTTTACTTGACTCAACATTTATGCTGGCAGCTGTGTGGAGAGATCAAGGGTGTAGGCCAAGAGTGGGAGCTGGAGATCTATTTAGAAACTGTGGAAATGCAAATCCAGAGGGACTGTGATGGTGGTTTGGACCAGAGTGAGTAGAGGGTTACTTGGTTACTCAGATTTTAAAATTTGGAGTTAAGGAATTCTTTACAGATTCAGCATCAATTTTAAATATGCAGTATGTGAGAAAGAAACAAATTGAGAAGGGTGCGCCCCCCCCCCCCCGGCGACTTTAGAAACAGAATTATTAGCACTGCTTAGCATTTGTCATGATTGAGAGGTCTGGACCAGGAACAGCTACCCAGCATATAAGCCTGAGATCCTTCCTAGTCTTCTTTAACTTTCATCTCTAATACTGAATCAAATACATGCTCTTTTCTTTCTCTCTCTTTCTGTCCCCTCCCTCCCTCCCTCTTCTGGAACTAGCTCTTGTAGACCAGGCTGGTCTTGACCTCACAGAGATCCACCTGCCTCTGCCTCCTGAGTGCTGGGACTAAAGGTGTGTGCCACCATTGCCCTGGAACGTGTGTGTTTGAAAAATTGTCTTCTCATGTTCAGACTAAATAAAAATTTGTTGTTTTGTTATTTTGAGACAGAGACTTACTGTGTAGTGTAAGCTTGCCTAAAACTCGGCAATCTTATTGTCTCAGCCCCCTGAATGCTGGGGTTACAGGCATGAGCTGCATACCCAAGTTATGCAAACTCTTAATGCCTTTATGCCTTATAATCTAATTCATACCAGTCTTTCACTACTACTTGACTCAAGCCTTTGCTAAAGTCTCACAAAACTTGTTATCTGAATAGTCTAAAATGCTTATACTTTTGCACTTGAAAAACATAAATTTCAGGTGTGGTGGCACACACTTTTTCAAAAAATAAATTTTTATTTAAATTAAAAAGAATCTTATTTTACATACCAATTCCAGTTCTCTCTTCCTCCCACCCATGGGAGGGACCTCACCCTCCCATGTCCCCCACCAACCGCCCCATCCCAACCCCCATCCACTCTCCAGGGAGGGTGAGACCTCCCATGAGGGATCATCAAAGTCGGTGGTGGTATACACTTCTAATACTAGCACTTGGGAGGCAGAGGCAGGGAGGCAGGGAGCCAGAAAGGCAGAGGCAGAATCTCTGTGAGTTTAAGGTCAGCCTGGTCTTCAGAGTGAGTTCCAAGACAGCCAAGGCTACAGAGACCCTGTCTCAAAAATCTAAAAACAAAAATCAAATCAAACCAAACCAAACCAAGAAAATCAATCCTTTCATGATGCTCTTACCTTTGTCTCTTCCCACAGAAGCCATTTTTTAGGGGTGGTTCTGGTACCACTCTTCTTCCCAATGACATTGAGATTACTTACACTGTTTTGTCTTAATTATTACATCCTTTATGTTCCTCTACTAAGACCTCAATAAAAGGAAGAAAAAATTGTCAGCTTTGAGGTAATACAGAAGAATACTTGAAGGAAGTCTAGAGAAAGATACCATATTAAAATTTTTGAAAAATAAGGGCTGGAGAGATAGCTCTCTCAGCTTGCTTTTACAAAGGACCCAGGTTCAGTTCCCACCACCCACAGGTAGCTCATAACTGCCTGTAACTCCAGCTCCAGGGAGTCTGGCACCTCTGTTTTCCCTAGGCACCTGCAATCATATGCACATACCCACCCACTCACATACACATGGATATAACAATTAAAATAATAAAAGATCTTTAAAATTTGTATAAATTTAAATGTAATTGGTTGTTAGCAATAACCTGTTATAGTTATGAAATTTAAAATTACTCAAGAAAAATGGTTTTTCATTCTAGAAAGGATAAAATGTTATTAGTTTTTTTTGGACACATTGGCACATTTAAAACTTATTTAATTTAACTTATGTGCATGTGTGTGTGTGCTTGCATTTCTGTATGTGCACTACATGTGTCCAGTACCTTCTGAGGCCAGATGAAGCTATTGGAGTTCCTGGAACTGGAGTTACACAGGGTTGTGAGCCACCCAGTGTAGGTGTTGGAAACTGAACCTGGGTCCTTTGCAAGACCATCATGAACTCTTAACCACTGAGCTATCTTCAGCTCCTACATTAGTTTGTAATTATAGTCTCATATTCTGTTTAGACCTCTCCATTTTATTGTGGTCATTTACATCTGCTCTTATTTCTTTAACTTGCCAGTATGTAAGTAGCGAAATTTTCATCTCAGTTTCTTTATTATACCTCACTAGACTAACAGTATAAATGAGGTAGAAACTAGAAATTACCTATTTCATAACTATTGAGAGAGAGACTTCTTTAGAAGCACTCACTGATATAAATGATAATGCTATTATGGGTATAAGATTGTAATAAGAGTACCTTTCTACTTAGGGAACACTCCATGAGAATAATAGGATTCTGCCTTGTTCACAACTCTTACATTAGTGCCCAGACAGTTCTAGGTTACTAACTAAAAAGATTGTTGGCTAGGTTGATGCTAGATTATATGTAAGGGGTCAGCATAAATGGAAGAAAGAATATCTTTGTTGTGTTGGAAGAACTGACATAATGGTAAGATGGGAGTTGTAATGGCAAGATGGAAATTGTGAATGTTTAAATACTAGTATCCTGTGGGTTTAATATCTGTTGCTTAGGTAGTTTGAAATAATTTTAATTGTGACATATTGCATGGAAATAACTTGAACAAAAATGCACTGATTTCTGTACTTCCAGTATTTTCCAGACATGGAAAAAAGTGGATAGTTGATAAAAACAAAGCTAATATTGCAATAATTTTTACTCTCTTTTTCAAGCTTTCCAAACATGGAATTTGCAAGCTTTAGTTAAACCATCTAATTTGATCTGCTAACAATGTATATTGTTACCTAGAAATGCACTTGTCATTTTTATTTTCAATAGATACTTGAATGTCTTTTCTATCTTGTTCTAATTACATACTTAAAATTAGTTTTATTATTTAGTTTCATTTATGCAAGCAAACTAGAGACTTACCTTTTAAAATCTCAGATTATACTTGAATCATTTGAATATAAAGTGGAGTGTGTGGGAGTGGGGAGACAGTAAGCAGAAATTATAAGAGGTGTGAAGAGAAAAAGCTCACAGATTTGAAAGAACATTTGAACAATTAGGCTACTAAGGAAGCCAGTAAACAGTTGGTCCACAGTTGACTCAGGAAAATTACCTCTTCAGTAGTTTTGTTAACAACATAGTATCGATTGGTTAATTTCAATTCCCTGAAGGTCGTACTGCTTGGAGAGTCTGATTGGTCTATGTAGGGCTGTCATTATTTACATAGTTTCAACAGCGTATGGAATGGAGCACAAATAATTTCCCAAAGGAAAAACAAGAGCCTTAATCAAAAGCTTTCTAAATACTATGTTTTATTATGGTCAAGTAGAAGCAATTAACAGAAGATGCTTTTTATTATTAAGGGAACATCCAGTATTTTTGTTTGAATAAGTATTTCAAGATGTATTTATTTCCTTTTATGGCATTCTTCATTCCACTAGTTCAGTTACCTATTTTGTTAAATTTTATCCCCCCCTTTTTCCATTGCAGGCAGCTATCAATGGTGTAATACCCCAGGAAAATGGCATTCTACAAAGGTATGTTACAAAACACTTAATGGTTTGATGATAGTTTATCAGAAATGAGAAGAAAATTTACCAATTTGGGGGGGGTTGCTTTTTAAAAAAAGATTTGTTTTTATTTTATGTGTATGAGTATTTTTGCTTGCATGTATGTAAGTACAGCATTTGCACTCAGTGTCTGCAGAGGCAGGCCAGAAGACAGCATTGGGTACCATGGGACATGAACTGAAGTTTGAGGTGGTTGTAAGTTGTCATGTGAGTACTGGGAACCAAATCTGGGTCTTCTGAAAGAGCAACCATCTCTTAACTGCTGAGTCAACTCCATATTGCTATCTCCTGGGTTTACCTTTTAGTGGAGCTTTAGACTTTTGGTCAGTAAGTTCATTAATACAGGCATTGTTCTTTTATATCATTTGTTAATTAGTTCTCTGAAGTTAGTTATAGTTAATTCTCTAAAATTTCCAACCATCCCCTTCTCCCTTTTCATTTTTGGAACAGGGTCTCGTATATACCTATCTTGTCTTGAACTCCCTGTGTAGCTATATCTGGTCTAAAAATCACTCTACCCCCCTTCCGCTCCCGCTTCCATCTCCCAGGTGCTGGAATGACAGGAATGGGGAAGTCTTATATTTACTATAAAATCAATATTTTTTGCCAGTTGATAATGTAAACTTTTAGAGTGACTTGGTGATTTTTAATTTTTCCAAACTCATCCTTTTAGTCATAAGTTGTAAGGAACTGAGATTATGATATGACACAGTAACTGCATAGTATGGTTGTCACCTCACAATTCAGGCTTTCTCTCTAAGCTATCTTTCCCCCTTCCCTAGTTGCTTTCTAACTAAGGACAACTTGTAGCAATTTCAGTAACTCTTTAGTAATGACACATCCCAGAGCACAGAACTATTACTCTATCTGAAATAGCCACTGTTAACATGTGGGGTTAGTTTTACTGGCTTTGTGTATTTGTTACAGCTGAAATTGGATGATGATTCAAAGAGAGAACTATAACATTTAAAACATACTTTAAAAAGTGGGTTGATTTTTTTCCCCCCTTTTGAAAGTGGGAGACTGGCTATAGATTAAAATAATTCTGTTTAAAGTCAGGAGATAAAACAATTTTCCCTTCTAAGCATAGTTTAATTTTTTTTTTTAAATATGTGCCCCTTCTGTTCTGTTATTTCAGACTCTTGGCTTGATTTTTTGGTGGCTGGGACCTCCAAGTCATGGAAGCATGATCTGCTAAGTGCAGATGAGGCAAGCAGAAATAGTGGGCTAGGAATAAAGTTGTCGAGAGGAAGAAAAGTGATGTTGTAACAGCTTAAATAATTCAAATTGCAAAATTGTGCTATATTTGGTAGGAAACTGTGTATTTAGGATGGAAATGAGAGTTTGTTTGATGCCTATACCACTTTTAATGATCTAATGGAAAACTGTTTTCCAATTCTCCTTTAAAATTTCTTATGTTTGATCCAGAGTAAATATGGCTGCTATCCAGAGTCTGTAGCAGCAGCTGTTTTGGTTTGGGTTGGAAGGTGATTTAAAAGCATTTACTTAAGTCTATTGACACTCTTGTCCAGAAAAGCAAACCAGATAATTATAGCAACTTCCTTCACGTTCACTTTTATAAACTTGCTTTAGAAAGTTTGAGACTACTAAATAGCACTCCAGTTTCATCTTGACTAAGTGCTGTTACCACCATATTCTGTGCCATTGTTTCCTCTGGGGCTTTTAGTTAGTGGGTACTGAAGACATATTGGACTTCATAGCATTTGTTATGGTAACTGTAGAGATTCTTTTCCCCTGGAAGTATTGCATCTTTCATTACAGATGATTTTTTCCTTATTTTTTATTTATAATGAGGAATGTAGTATTCTCTAGTAAATCCTATAGTATTTAGGGTCTAAATTTGATCAGAGTGGGTTTTTATTAGCTTTCTTTGTTTCAATGCTTGTGTAAGAAAATAAGTGGTATCTAATAAATTTCTCAACTGTTTCCTTCCTATGTTCTTTAGTTTTAAAGTCTCTGTGGGTTTATATAACTGACAATGGGTCTGTGTGTCTGCTGGCAAAGGGAAATAAAAGAGGCCTCCTTGAATTCTTCCATAGTTAACACTAAAAGGAGAAGACCTGGCTAGCTGTATATGTAGTCACTTAAAAGGGTAATTGTCTTGTATCTTTGATTTAACTTAAATACAGTTTATGTAGGACCAGTTCTTAGTTTATACTTTAAGAGAAGGGCAGAATCAAATACTTTATGTGTCTCAGTTTATTTCTCTTGCTGAGATAAAGTGCCCTAACCAAAACACCTTAAGGGAGAAAGGGCTTATTTTAGCTCACAGTTCCAGGTTATAGTCTATCATAGTGGGGGAAGTGCAGGCAGCTGTAACTTAAAACAGCTACTTACATTACATCCACATTCCAAAGCAGAGAGGGACGGATGCTCATGTTTAATATTCAGCTTACTTTATTCACTCTTACACAGTCTTGGGCCCAAACCCACGAAATGGTGCTGCCTACTTCTGGGCTGGATCCTCTGACATCAGTTAACATAATCAAGATAGTCACTCACAGTGATGCCCACAGGCCAACCTGATCTAGACAGTCTCTTAATGAGCATCTTTTCCTAGGTGATTCTAGATTGTGTCAAGTTGATAGTTAAAAGTAATCATTACATTATCTATCCTATTTATATATATATATTGAAATTTGTATATTATAAGATACTATCATGAGATACAGAAGTTTTGATGGTATTCTAGTTCTTGGGCACTGGTAGATGTAATTCTTTTGGCCAGAGGTTATAAAACTTTTTGGAGTTTTGATTCTTGGAACCCTCATAGTGGAAAAAGAGGACCAGCTCTCACATTTTGTCCACTGACCTCTACTTGATCATGTTGGATGTACATACACAATCAATCAATAAACTTAACACTTAAAAATTAGAAAGAGAAATTAAAAAATTATGCCCTTTTAATATTTAAAACATAGTTTTTATTTGTTAAATATATATATGTCTCAATAGAGTTGTAAAACATAATTCAAAACAGGAAACTCAGGAAAACGTCTAAAGGTGTTCAAATATTTCAGTGGTTGAACCAAGACAATAAACAGTGACCACCACTCAAAATTGAGGAGGTTTTTGCTTAGATGTATGAAATGAAAGCATAAAGGGCCTTAAGCCAGGCCCTAGGTTAGACTTTCTATCTGAGTAAGACAGTAGATCTTCACCATTTGACCTTTGAAGGTGTGTGAGAGTCCTTGGCTGAATTAAAAAAAAAAAAAATCAAAAGGCAAGAGTCAATGTATCCAGACAAGGTAGAAAACGTATACTAACTGGACAGTGAGTTTGCTGGGGAAGTGTCTGGAGGACAGTTTGCTGATGTAGTTATTAGAAACAGTGAGGCATCCATCACTAGAAAATCCCGGGGAGGAGGAGGAAGATGTGTCCAGGAAGTGCCACATCCCAGAACAAATATTGAAAATCTGCCATAGCCTAAGCCACATCACCTCCAGAAAGGAGAAAAAAATGATCTAGTGTCATTATCTAGCCAACAAAAGCTTAAAAACAAACGTGATTTGCAGATCCTCAGCTCCGACTTTTGACGAAGTCAGCTGGTTTTGCTTTGATGCTTTGGGACAGTATTTTGCTGGTAAAATACGGATGCCAACCATGAGCTCAGGTCATCAGAAACAGGGCCTTTAGTTCTATTTTAGGATAGGAAAAAGGAAAGTAAAAGTGTTGACACCAGCTGGCAAATGAGACTCATCAGGCCTAAAAGAAAATGAGCATTTGGACCATGTCCTAGATCAGAAACAATTCTTGGATCAGTAAAGGTTGATGCTGTTCCAACCAGGAAAAGATCATTCTATAAGTTGAACTGCTATGAAATAGCCCTGAATGTTGAGTGGTCTGTGAGGAACAAAGGGATAAACACCCCAGATCAAGTACAACTTTGGGAGCAGAAGCAGAGGACAGTATATATTTTATAATCAAACTGTGAAGGAAAAAAAATGAAACAGCTGAAACTCATGGACTGTAGTAGTTCAAATGCATTTTCAGGTGAAGGCTTTTGAAACCAGAACTACAAAAGAAACGCATTCAGTCTGAAATGGAATCTGAAGTTTGCACAGACATAGCATTAGAGTCATGCATATCAAACAAAATTGACATGATGGAAATTTAAAAATATGCAAAACCGTGTGAAAGCAGTGAGAAACCTAAAAAGTAGATATAAAAATGTTGAGTAGTTGGGGGTGTTGTCTGCTGCTAGTAATAATACTGTCAAGATACAAAAATATTTTGTTGTATGTTTGTTAAACTGTATTGTAAATAGTAATGTATACATTGGAAAATGGTTTACTTTAAAAATAAATAACAAAGGAAACACCTCATCTGAAGTTATAGTGGGTCTCCATAGCCTCTCCTTCAAGGTATTCCATTAAACACATTTTGTCCTTAGTGGGCCCTGCTCACATGGAGGTGGGTGGATCTTTTCTAGGCTCATAGTAGTGTATGACTTGTTTGTCTTTCTTGCCAGATTCTGATTATTTAGGAAGGTCCCATTTCTTTGATTTCTTTGTTTTATTTAAATTTTTTATTCTCTTTGCATACCAACCATAGTCCCCCCACCTCCCAACCTACTCCTCAGAAAGGGTAAGGCCACCCATGGGGTGTCAACAAAGCCTGGCCTATCAAGTTGAGGCAGGACAACCTCCCCTCCCCACCAGGATCGAAACTGAGCAAGGCATTCCACCATAGGGAATGGGTTCCAAAAGGCCATCTCGTGTAACAGGGATAAATCCTGGTCTCACTGCCAGAGGCCCCACACAGCTGTCACCCATATTCAGTATTCTCTGGGGCTGTGGATTGTAGTCTGGTTATCCTTTGCTTTACATCTAATATCCACTTATGCATGAGTACATACCATGTTTGTCATTATGGGTCTAGATATCTCACTCAGGATGATTTTTTGCTAGTTCATCCATTTGCCTGCAAATTTCATGATGTCATTG